AATCAATGAACTAATCTACTGTCAATTTTGACCCTTTAAGAATTACAAAGAACAAGAAAAATATCTTCCTATTGAACTATTAGAATTTTAAAAATGAAAATTTATATTTCTATGAGCGATGATGTATGGTTTGGTAGATGACTATTTTCAAAACTGTCTTTCACTATTTTTAAAATTAACTTTTCCTCTTTTACTTCTTCTTGTAAACTTCACAGTATTATAGAGATATTATATCTAGGATGATATTTTGCTGATTAATCTCAGAGAGGAGAATTTTTGTTCATAAATTAGGATACATCTATATTGGTCAATCTTATTAGGAATTATTTTAAATAACATTAAAATGTTGATAGACCTGTAAAACAATCCAAGTTCCCGCTTAAACATTGATCAGAAAAATTGCAATCAGAACCAACTCTCTGTTTTCCTTTCTAAGCCTTTACATTTTGCTGTATATGAGGGAAGGGTTTTCTGGAATGTTTTAGTAAGTGTTTTAGTAAGAAACTTAGAGAGCTATGGGGAAAAGTAAGATGTGCTGTTCTTTACCAGTGGTGAAGCTTGATGGATAATAAGGATTCCAAAGATAGGAAGTGACTTTTGGGGGGAAGAGTTGGTTTGTGTTTGGTTTGGTTTTCTCATTCTAGGGACTCAAACACAGGTATTTGTGTGTGCTAAGAGAATGACATTTGGAAGAACAGCAAAGCACATGTTTCACAGACCAATAGAACTCCTGCAGTTTAATGATTTTTTTTTCCAATCCTGAAAGACACTTACAAAGTTGTTTTAGACCTCACAGTCCCAAGGGCAAGACAGAACTTAACTCTGCAAATCCGTAATGTGACGTGCAATTAATGCTCTATGAGCCGTTTGCCAGAAAAGAGTTCAATGGTCATCAGTTAAAACACTGTGATGATAATTTCAATTACTGGCTAATTTCTAGATTTGAGAATATACTTTATTTTTAAAGTGTGATTGCTTGGCTTTCTGAGTCCTTGTATGAGCTGAAAGTGAACATATTTGACATGAACCTATGTATTAAGGAGCTTTCTGCTATAAGAGAAGATAAAAATGGACAACTGAATAGGAAAATAATATTTTTTCCAGGAGTATTTACAAAGAGCAGTTTTGTTTTCTTGTTTGCTTGTTCTGTTTCTGAGCAGAATCTCACTATGAATTACATGCTGTATTCAAACCCATTATCTGCCTGTTTTAGTTTTCTTAGGATTACAGGTGTATATTACCATACCTGATCTATCCTAATAATTTATTACAGGTTTTATTAAATTACATCAAGAAAAAAACCCACCAAGATCACTTTTAAACTGAAATAGTCTATTTTATTTATTTTTGCAGTCTTGGGCCTCTAGCTCTTACTTGGCTTTTTTGCTAAAGATTGATGCTCAACCACTTGAGCCACACCTCCACTTGACTTTTTGATGGCTAATTGGAGATAAGTATCTCTCAGATTTATCTGTCCAGGCTGGTTTTGTATTGAGATCCTCAGATCTCAGCCTAGGATTACAAGTATAGCTAGGATTACAAGTGTGAGCCACTGGTTCCTAACTTGAAGAAGTCATTAAAAATAATAACACTTGTTAAAAACGAAACAAACAAGAATTTCAATGGCATGTCATGGCATTTTCTTCCTTGAGTCTTTTAGGACGGAGTGGCACTAACGGCCTAGCTGGTGATGGGGCAGGGGAAGAGAGAGGGGCATAGAAGTTGGGTCAAACTCTTAAGGGCAGATCAAAATTTAGAAGGTTAAGGATTTCGGAAGATATGAAAAACCAGAAGGACACGAGATCTTGTACCCACTTTGTTTCTTAATTCTACATTTCTGGGTTTTCCTGTGATCACATTGATAAGTGAAAATAATCTCAGGGGAAAAAAACCCCAAATTCTCTAGGTTAAGGATAGATTAAATTCTCTCCAAGAATCTAGAACTGGGACCTTAATAAAGTTATTCCTTACTAAATGCTTGATGGTAATCATAGGAATAAATCCACTCAAAGCAGAGATTTCTGCTCCAATTCCCATGGGGCCTGGTAGCCCACATCACATTTTTAGGGATAAATCCAGTAGCTTATAGCCATCTTTTTTTCTCCTAACATGGTCATGGATTTAATGTTCACAATTGTTTTTTCCTGACATTTTTGGAAAGGGGTCAAGCATATTCTTTGATGGCAAGAGCTATCTGCCAGAACTTTTCCTCTCACATTGACTTCTTTTCATATCCACATCCACATGTCCTGGGATTTGCTTTAGAACCAGGGAAGATGAGACACAGGTTCAGAGCTTGACAAACACGCCATTTCCAGATCAATCTTCACAGCTCTCTAAGTGAGGTGTGATCACTGTAAATCTTTTTCTGCAGTTGATTTATATTGTAATTAAGGCAGAGAAGAAGCACATACAAGGCCAAAGGCGGAAAAGTAGCACACATTTTTCATGGAAAGTTTTCTTCCCATAAGTCAGAACACCAGGCAGTATTAGGGGAAAA